ATAAGGGTTTTTCTCATTGGTAGCAATAAAGATCTGTAAATTCTCTATGGTAGCAAAATTTTTGTTAAACTTCATCACCCAACCAACTCTCTTTTTATTTATTTTAATTTCTATCTTAAAGATTGTATATTTGAAATTACCAATTCATTTGGGTATTCGAATTATATCGAATTTATCTAGAATTTTGTTTTTTGCTCTATTTTTCATTGAATGTAATACAATTAGGGTATTCGATTTTTTTTTTCCTGAACTATGCAAGTTGAAATTGAAAATCATTTTGTTTGAAAATTGCAGAATGGGTGATGAAATTGTGTTGAAATTTCAGTATAACAGTGGTGATGTTAATGTTGTTGTAGATGACATTGATATGATAAACCTTATTGATGTGGTTATTGAATACTGGGACAATGCAGTTAAACAAGGTATAGTGATGCCTAAATTTCCTAGCTTTAGATATGTGCATAAGATGAAATACCACTATCTGAACAATGATAAGGATTTAATGAGGATGTCCAGTGAGTTGGCTGGAAAAAGTGAGATTAACATATGGGTCTATGATGAAGATAGTCCAACTCAGGTTATTAAAGATGCTAAGAGTGTAAGGATGACAAGGAAAGAACAAGAGATTAAGGAGAAAAAAGATGCAGAACTTGTCGGGTTTTCGAATGCTGGCCATAGTGGGATTTGGAGGCATAATGATGTCGTTATAGTTCCAAAAATACCTTAAATAGGTAAGCCTTCAAAATTAACACCTAGGAGAGGAAAAAAGTTAGTGCCTGAGGGTACTCTGTCAATCCAATTCCAAACCCTACCATTGGCCAAAATAATGAAGGTAATAAATCAAATCAGGTTGATTTGGATGCATTGAATGATTTGAGTTAAACAATAGGTCTTGTAAGGGCTAGAGGGGGGAGAAGAGGTAGAAGAGGTGAAGGGAGAGGAGGGAGAAGGGGAGGTTCTAGGGGGAGAGGAAGAGGACCATCTAGAGGTTTTGAGTATTGGTTGGGGCTTGAAAATGAGGAAGGAGCTACAATTGTTAATGTAACATCTCAAACTAAACCTAAAGCTAACATAGGTGTTAAAGTTGTAAGGAGAAGTCCAAGGAAGCATAGATAAGCTATTGTTGAACCTGATAGACCTGAACAACAACAACAACCGTCAGTTGTGTCATCCTTTTCGTCTAAAGCCCTAGTTATGAAAAAGAAAATGCCGAAGACAACAGCTAGGAGGAAGGGTTTAGTAACTTCAACTTCAGTTTCACCTTCGGTTGCTGGAACATCTAACATGCTTTCACCTGAAAATCAAGATCTTGATGATGAATATGATCCAGAATTCTCCTTCTCTGGCACAGACAATGAATCTTCAACTGATAGTGATGAAACTGTAGATGGTGAAGATGATGGGCAAACGAATAATGAAGCTGGGATTGTTGTTGTGGATAACTATGATCCATATGCTGATGATGTTTGGGAAGATGATGGTGTAGAAGATAATGGGGATGGAAATTACTTTTCAAAGCTATATAAAAACGGGGAAATGTTTGATAAACAGGAAGATGGTAAGACAGATTAAGACCATGGCAACTTTTCTACGACAAGCAACATTTGAAAGATGTAGTCAGGGACTATTGTATACAATGTGGCTTTTCAGTGATTGTTGATAGGGCAAACAATTCAATTTACACTATGTATTATTCTGCAGAGGGATGTGAGTGGAGGCTACATGCTTCTAGATTAGCGGATGGTTTCACTTGGGCTATAAAGTCAATAAAAAATGGAGAGCACACTTGCTTGGGTTTGGAATCTAGAAATCCAATGGTGACTTCAGAATGGGCTAGTAGAGTGCTATTAGAAGACATTAGAGCCAACAATGACATTTCTGGTAAGGCATTGAATGCATTACTATGGAACAGGTTTAATGTTCAAATTGCCACTAGTACATTGTATAGAGTCAGTGCTCGGGCTTTAATTGAGATACATGGTGGCTATGATGAGTCATATGCTTATTTGCCTGGTTATTGTGAAATGATCAAGAAAACTAACACTGGTTCTTATGCTAGTTGTGTGTGGAACCCAAACACTCATGTTGATAGACCTTTGGCTTTTGTCACAATATTCATTTCATTTAAGCCATGTCTGGATAGGGTTGAAGGATGGAATTAGAGGGTTTGTTGGAGCTAGTTGATGGGACACACTTGAAAGGAAATTATGGGGGTGTTCTTCTTTTTGCAGTAGCACTAGATGGGAATAATGAGTTGTTCCCATTTGCTTGGGGAATTGTTTCTAATGAAGATTCAGACACTTTGTGCTTCTTTGTGCATCGTTTGAGGGATTTACTTAGGTCAACTAGAAAAGGAGATAAATGGTGTATCATTTCAGATCGACAAAAGATTAGTCTCATTGAGTTTTCACTTTTAATTTTATATTTCATTTTAATTTAACTAAATCATAATGTTAAATAAACAGGGAATTGAAATTGCACTTGACAAGTTGTGGCCAAAAGTGGATAGGAGATACTGTACCAAACATTTAGCTTCCAATTGGAAGAAAGCATTTCCTGGTCCATTAATGCTCTCTTTGTTTTGGAAAGCATGTGGTGCGCATTCTGAGTTCACCTTTAAAAAATCTATGGAACAAATGTATAAGGTTGGAAAAGGAGGAAGGTTGTGGCTTGCAAAACTAGGCAACCAAGCTCGGTGGATAAAGCATAAGTTTAACGTTGCAACAAAGTGTGATGCAAATAAGTCCAACTTTGTTGAGAGGTTTAATGCAACTCTTGGTATTGACAGATGTAGACCTGTACTTACACTTTTAGAAGGTAAATTATCGTATATATGCCATCTTGAAATGCATTGTGCAAGATTTCATGGCTTGTGTTAACAATGCTAAACTGTGTCATTATTTGTTGTAGGTATTCGAAGAAACACTATGGTAAGGTTGGCTTCTAGAAGGCAGAAGTGTAAGGAGTGGACTAGAACTGACATTTGTCCAAACATTGTGCAAAGAGTTCAAAAGCTATGTCATGACTCAAGGACTTGCCATTCATATTTGTCTTCCTTTGGTGAATTTGAGGTGTTTGAGGGTAAGTCATACCTACCCGTAAGCTTGAATGACCAAACTTGTGTTTGTGGACAATGGTAATTATCTGGGATTCCATGTAGACATGGAATGAGGGCCATATTAGATTCTAAGCTTGACCCTCATGCTTTTGTTAATGAGTGGTACTCTGTCAAAAGATACAAGGCAACATATTCGAATGGCATTAAATTAATACCAGATTATGAGCAATGGCCTGAATTTAATCTACCAAAAATATTGCCACCTGAGCTTAAAAGAGGAATTGGAAGACCAAGCAGGAACAGAAAGAGAGATGAAACCAAAAGACAAGAAGGGGAAGAGAGCTAAAACTGTTAAGTATAGCAAGTGTCAAGATTTTGGGCATAATGCAAAGATTTGTAAAGAAGGAGCTACAAAGCAAAAGTGGGGTTCAAGTAAAAAGAAGAACATGCCAAAATTAGATGCATCTTCTCGAGGCACTGATGTTCCTAATGTAGCAATAACTTCCCAACCTAAAACAACTAGACACACTTCAAGGCTAGCTACATATCAACCTCAACCTACTGGAGTAACTAGATCAAGATCTCTCTTTTTGTTTGCATCACAACCAAAACAATTATAAATCAATGTCTTATGAATAATTTGTATTTTGTTTGGTAGAACATACACTATTATGAACCAATTAGTTAAGTGGCAAATCTTTTTTAAGAAATTTTGCATTTGGCTTGAATAAAATTTTGTTGAATGAAATTTGAATGCTGTTATTTTGTTGTTAATTTACTGTAATTATGTTGTTGTTTGCTGTTATTTTACTGTAATTTTGTTGCAGGCTCATGGATTCTTCTGATTTAGTTATTATTTTGCTGTTGGAGCGCTTTTAATGTTGTTGCTTTAATTTTTCTGTTTATGTGATCTGTCAGCTCTTGGAGATTGAGATGCCTATGGCTTCTCAAAAATCTGATCCCGAGTCCATTAAAATCAAAGTAAGGAGATACTTCAAACCTTATCGTTTTGACATTCGTGAGGCATAATTGTTCAATGCATATGTGTAACTGCTGTTTGTCTTATATATGCTTTATCTTGTTAACATATACAGTACTCGTATGAATTATGTACTTAATTGTTATCACATTATATATTTTCATATAATCTGCTCTGGAAGTCATCTGACGATGTAGCTGCAATCCGACTACTTGTCCACGTAACTTGTATTTCGTATTAAATAAGGTTGCCCATGATCAATGGAGATTTGATATTTAGTTGTGCCAACCTTTTGGCTATTGTTTGCAAACTGCAGCCTAATTACATATATGCTTTTATAGTTCTAAAATAAAGCTATCTGATCGTAGTGGACTAACAAAAGGTAGTATACGTGTATCATTCAATAAATTAAGTGAGGGTAGTTTAGTAATTTTATTATTACATAACCATGGTTAGTGTATTTTAGGCTAATATATCATATTTAATAAAATAAAGCTATACTAGGGAATAATTATAAAAAATGCTATTTAAGAGAATTTAACAAAAATTTTGCTACCATAGAGAATTTACAAATCTTTATTGCTACCAATGAGAAAAACCCTAAATATAATTACTAGGGCTCGTTGGTATTGAAAGAAATACCAATAAGGAGTTTGTTGGTATCAAAGAAGAATACCAACTAAACTTCTTGTTGATATACCAACGACATTTAAAACAATACCAATCGAAAACCGTCAAAAGTGTCGGTTAGTAGAGTCCAAGAGGACGCAATTTAGTAGAGACCATGAAATCCTCGACTCTAAAAGGGATACAAACCTAACACTACACATAATACTTTGACACACTAATGAAATACAAGTATCTTTATTTGGTTTGCTTTAAAAAATACGTTTGAAAATATTTGTTAGAATAACGTGATAGTATGGACTATGGGGTAATTTTTATGTTTATTAAGTTCAATACTCTATGTGACTTTTGAGGCTATCTATACAATTTTTGGAAATAAAATTTGTAGTATATATTTAATTTTGTAAAATAAATCAAAATCCACCTAACCATGCCCCGTCTAATTTAATCCAACAGCTAATCATTGCCAACTTACTGCCCTTTTTTCATAGGTAAAATTAAACCAATAAAGGCAAAAAATTGCCAAAAATAAAGATAAAAAATAATAAAAAAGAAAAGAAAAGAAAAGAAAAAGAAAAAGCTAAGAATTTACTCAAAATTCATATTTGTGGAAAATAAAATTAATCCAAAATCTTCATTAATATCCAGAGAGAAAGAAAGAGAGGTTTTCGGGATTTCTCCCCCTTTTCCCTACATCACCCTTTTCACCCGAATATATCCCCTTTTTTTTAATAATTAATTGGGATTAATTTAATTAATTTTAATCTAATTCAATTTGATTTAATTTTCTTCTTTGTACTTTGACAATGAAGGCATTAATAAAATTTAATTAATCAATTAAATTAAATTATAGTGTTTATATATAATCCCGACATCATTAATCATGATGTTCTTTCCATTTGTGGTTCTTTCTCTTGAGGAGGAGCAGCTGCACGAAAACCCTCCCTGTTCTGAAGAAGAAGAACAAGGTGATTATCCAATTTTCCATCTTTCTATGATAATTATGATTATTATCAATTATTTCTCAATTTGATAATTCATTTTTAAACAAAGTGTTTCCATTTTTTGTTCATCAATTTTATAATTTGGGTCTATTTTGGAATATACATGAGCTGCCTTTTTGTGGGTATTTCTGCTTTTTTGTGGGTATCTTGAATATTTATTCTTATATTAATTAATGATGTGGACAGTTTTAATTTCTGGGTTGTGAAGTTTGAATCTTTTTAACATGTGGAAAATGGAATGTTTTGTTTTTTTGGGTAGAATTTTGTACTTTAGAGCTTGAAAAGCGAAATTGGAGTTTATTTGAGCTTATAATTGGTTTTGGAAGTTTGATTATAGGAGAAAGTTTATGAGAATAAGGTCTTGCTTTACTTAGTAGTCATGATTATCGTATGGTAAAATAGTTTGAGATTTTTAGGTGTTTGGCAGTTGTAGACAAACATTGATTTGGAGTATTGCTAAATATGCTGATGATGGACAGCAACTAGATTGAGCTCGTCGTCTTTTTCCGTATGATGTTATTGTTGATGAGGATGCTGACTTCCTCGGATGATATTGCTGCAAATGGGTGCTGATTTAGTATTGACTAATGACAGTATATTCTTGCTGAGGATAAACTTATTTTTGGGGGCGGTTGGGTGAATACTGGAAAGCGTTGTGTTAGATTATGATCAATGAAATTTAGGTAGACTATACCATGAATGTGCTACGCAAATATATTGTCTGATTAGATATATAAATTTAGCATCCCTGAACTTCACAACTCATCTTCCCCTACAAGGTCTAGAAATATATGTATGCAAGTAGCTTCAACATGTAGGCTTTTGAAATGTTTGTTTGGATAGTCTCATCGTTCACTGCACAATTTTCATGTGGTTGGATTTTTATACTTCAATCGATGTTGTGGTTCTTAAGAATCCAGAATTGTTCCCTGCGGGCATGTTAAACTAATGGTTGAGTCTAGAAGGGGTTTGTAGATTGACTGCACTGTTTTAAGAGGCAAAATAGAGGATCCTCTGCTGCCTACAATATTCTTAGGTAAAGATCCTAGTGTTAACAAGGCTATTATCTTAGTCTCGCACTATGCGGAAACTTCATTGGCAAGTGGACATCAATATTGTCAATTTACATACTATATAGAAGTGATGTTTGGTACTCCGTATAAGGGAAAATACTGGTGAAATGAGTAGATAATAGTTGCAATCATGGAAACGTGCACAAGTCAAGGGTTCAAGTGGGTAACATTGAAATAAAATACCAGAAACCTCAAGGCATCATTGTGCCTTTTCAAAATACCATGAAAAAATTCAAGAACTAAGAAATGGACTATAGGCTCTCTCTGCCCTTTTATAATTCCATTCCTTTCATTTTGCTGCTTTTCTCAAGATCTTGAGGAACCTTTGAACCTTTAAGATAAAGATAAATATAAATACTTCACATAATGTGTGATGTTCTCATTGTGATAAATTTGTTAAAAAATATTGAAGAAAAATGAAAGCCGGAGAAGAAAATGTAAGGTTACTCTTCTCAAAATAAAAAATTAAAATATAAAAAATTAGATTATGGGTTACGTACTTGTGTACTTAATCAAAGAAAATATAAAATAATCTACAGAAATTGCCAAGACAATTTTATGCTGAGGTGACTTATGTGCAATGCAATATCTTTAGGCTGTTTCAATTAGTGAGACTAGGATCTTTATGCACGCGATGCGTGCTTTAGATTTTCTAAATTTATATACACAAAAAAGTAAAATTAAGGGCACTCTAGGTATTTTAGATGGACACCACTACCTCACTTCTTGGCTTATGTAATAGAGATTAGTTTGGAGTGCTTGAAAATGTTGATATCCATTACTTTTTCTGTTAGGGTTTTCTGTTGACTATATCTACGAGGGTAAATCAAGCTTTCAATCACTTGCATTCAGTGGCCACCATGGCCAGTCTTAGTCAACCAGACTTTTTCTAAATCTCCTGAAGTCCAGATTACACATGTTATCTTGTATCTTATTGTTTTTCTGCTTTAAGTGAAGTTACTTCATATTTTAATTGTCAGGTGAAGAATTTACTGAAGAAATTGCTGTTATGGCTGAGACCGAAGCCTCAGGCAGCCAAGGATGGGGATCTTCACTATCATTCCCGTCTTCAGAAGATGTTGCAAGAGCAGTGGCAGCTGCTGCTACTGCAGTCAGTTCACCAAGACCATCTGTAGTGTTCTCTTCAAATGATAGTGGGAGTAACTCCCCATTAAAGAGAATACAGAATCAGGTATCAAAGGCACTAAAGGGCTTATCACAAACTCCTGACAAAAGAATTCTCACTTACAATCCAGAAGTGTTAACTAAACAAAAGCGTCAATGGGCCAGCTTTCAGTTACAATCTTTGGTATGCTATTCTTCTAAGCTTCAGCCTGTGAATCAATGTAGCTTTGTTTTTTGTTTTGTCATTCACTTAAGGACATACATATATAGCTTATTATGCAACTTGATTTGTTTATAGAAGTGTTTGTCTTGTTTGGTTTGGAGTTTTGGACCTAGGGGCATCAGTTCCTGACTTCCTGTGTCTGTTCTGCAATTTTTTCTCACATTTTGATACATGCCCTTTGTTTGTGATGTTTGCATTTCCCTATTCTTGGCTATGTTTTCAAATGATTTAGGTAATATCATTTTAAAAGGTGCTCGTGAGTAACTTTAGGTGATTACAAGGCATCTATCAAAATTTTGGTTATGATTAACCTTTAAATATTCTGGTTTGATGTTGTTGATACGTGCAGGATCATCGATCTTTTATAGAGCCATCAAAGCTTTTTGAGAGCATGGTAGTTGTTGGGCTTCCTCCTAGTTTTGATGCTCAATCACTAAGAAAAAGACTACTTGCTAGGAAAACTGAAGGTTCAGGGAAATTTCGAATTGCTTTAAGTGGTCATAATCATTCTCGTGTTGAGCCAAACTTTGAGCCCCAGGTGCATACCCGCACATGTGAATTACTTTAAAGGTGGTTGGTTGATCATCATCCCTTTGGCCTTATCTTCTATTTTCTCTGGTCCCAGGTTCTATTTGTTTATCCTCCAGAAAAGCAGTTACCACTCAAATACAGGGATCTTTTATCATTTTGCTTCCCTGGTGGTGTTGAGGTCGGTTCCTCAATTTTTGGTGTTTTATGCGAAATCTTAATTTTAATCTCAAAGAATCTTTTCACCATATTGTGCTCTAAAAAATTGTAGTGTCACAATATGTGCAAGGATTATCCTGTGTTAGTGTGTTATTACCTATTCACCCTGTAATCACTAGGAAACATAAAAATATTTGGGGGTTACGTTGTTGTTGTTGTAGTCATCTATGCTTTTTGTTTGGCCTGAATTTTGCCCTTATCTAGGGTTTGACAGTTTGATACTCTTATATATGTTTTTTTTTTCTTATTAGTGTATAAATCAATTACGTATTTGTAAAATTTGAGTCAGATAGGCAATTGTAGTTTTTAGGTAAGTTAGAATGGAGGTAACTTAAAACATCTAACCTTAACTGTCTTGAACTGTGTGCACATTGAGGTCCTATAAGTGTTTTTTCTGTAATCAGAACTTGTTTCATGTGCCAAAGTTTAAATTGAAGAGATCAATTTGTTGTAGATCTTACCAGGCTGAACCTTGTGAAAGAGTTTTGGTGTCAGATTTAGTTCCATAATGCCTCTTAACTTATTTCTATCTTCTATTGTTTTCATTGCTTTTGAACCATGGAATCATGACTTAAATTTGTTTTTTTTTTTTGGGTACTGATAAATGAACAACGGTAAAATTCTTAATCTGTTTGCCTCAACCCCCACCCCCCACCCTACCCTATTCCGCTTCCTTTTTTTTTTGTTTATTAGGTACAATGGCATTTTATTTTCCTGTGGCTACATATAATATGATGGGAGAAGCTATGAAATTATTTCAATTTTTTAATAACATCCTCCTAATTATGTCGTTATGCTTGGTGTTTTGTTTTGTTTTGTTTTTGCCCCCTCCTGGAAGGATCTTCACATGATTCTGGAATGTGCTTACAGGTTCATGCTGTTGAGAAAAGCTCTTCAATGAGTGAGTTAAATGAAATACTTCTTGGACAGGTATTTGTCATCTTGCTGACTTCATTGTGATGTGTATATCTTGGATCTCAATTTTGGTGAAATTGTATGTGCTCTTTCTCTCTTTAATGAAATTAGAACCAACTTTAATATGAGAAAGGAGAACCAATTTGGGCATTCTTGTAAAGAGGTTTTTTAAATGTTAGTGGCAACTTCTTAGTCCATTCTCTTCTATCCCCTCCTTAAGCTGTCTGCCATTTGTGGTGGCAGTGGTAAGTTTTTGCTCTGTAAATCGTTTTCCAAATAGTATTATGTCTAGTCTGTGACCTGCCTGTACATTTTGCCCAAAGTTTCTCAATTTTGCAAGTTTTCAAATTTATTGGATCAATCAGGCACACACATATTTCGCCTAATTGCTTTAGTTGGCACTTGGATATCTAAAAAAGCTGTGAAAGGAAATAGGAGAGATAAGAAGAGGATTATGGGGTTTTATGGGAATAGGAGATTAATTAAAAGGGGGTACATGAAGAAGGCTAGCAGGGGTGTGGGGTATGTTGTGTTGAAGATCTAATCTTAAGAAATAATGCATTTCTGAAGCATCATAGGAGCTGAATGGTATTGGGGTAGAGTGGGAGAAGGAAAGGCAGAAGAGGGAAGAGAAAACAGAAGGAAAGGTTATGGAGCTTGCTTACCAGCAAGAGAGCAAAGGAAACGTTTGGCTAAGCTGAGTAGAGAGAATGGTGGAGGGAAGTGGCTACCTGATGGGGAATGTGCTGTGCTATATTTATTGGGGGATGGAGAACTGCTGGAAAGAAAAGAATTGGCACGGAGGGAGCTGGACAATTGTAATGTTTGGTCATACGGAATTGTTATCATTAGAGGTTACTTTGGAGGATTGTTGAAAGAAAAGAGAAAGCGGTGGGAGCTGCTGCTTTATAAAGCTTGGTGGTATACAACATTGGCTTTAATTAAGGCCAATTTGGATTTCCTCTTGTTATATTTATATTCGATTTTCTATATGCCACAACTTTTAGTTATTGTTATTATATGGAATATAGATGACTGATAATGGCTCTTTTATTGTTTGATTCTTATGAGGATCCACCCGTAATGACTTCAACCTAATGCTTTAGGCTTCCAGCTAGGCAGGGTTTAGTTGGTGGTAAACACTTTATACAGGTTGGTTTACCACTTTGCAACAGAAAAAGGGGACATTGTAGTATTATTGTCAGTAAAAAGCACATCACCTGTGCTTGAATGTGGTGAGATCAAAGCTCTTTGAGGTTAATTTTAGCTGAGACTTACTTTAAGCTTTGCATTCCCAGCAGCAAAGTGCACTGCTCGATTATAATGCCTCTGTAGCTAGTAATTGAAATCAGATCCAACCTTTTCTTTTCTGTTCATTTTTCCTTTTCTTTGATTTCCATTTGTGTGTGGGTTTAAGCATTTTGTTCTTTTAGGGGGAACTGTTAATACAATATTCAATTTTTTTGCAGGAACATCTCAAACAAAGTGAGCTGTCCTTTGTGTTTCGCTTGCAGCAGGTAGTTTGCCATTGGATTCATATTTGATGTTATAGGTGCTGCCTACTTTCTTATGCTCTGTTTGGTTCATTTTCAATGCAAACAACCATAAAGAAGCCTCTTCTTAGTTCCTACACACTAAAAACGGGTACAACTTAGAGTGAGATGAGTACAAGGGGGATAGGAAATTATTATGACAGAACTGCAAATCTCTGATTCGATCATGGAATGGTTTTGGGGAGCTATGCAGATGATTTGCAGCTGCTGTCTGCTAATATCACGGTTGTAGTAAGCTAAAAAATCTAAATAATGTTATAGCGATGTGGTTGAGATTATATTTCCTTGGAATACCACGTAGCAAATGGCAGTTATTCATTCTAGGCTCTGACAGAGTAGTATTTTTCCTGTTTACCTTTGCCTTAGAGTAAGTGAGCTAAACAGTTTGTTCTAACGCAAAAAAATGAGCAAATAATAGAGTTTGTAACAGAATATCAATTTTGACAGTTATGGACCTCATGGTTATAAGAAAGGCTTCCTTGATAGGTTTTGGTGTTATGTTTTCAGTTTATTTTATTATTATGTGGTCTTCTAGTCTTCAAAATGTATTCTGTTTCTTCCTTTCTAAGCACATGTTTCTTGTCTTACAGAAAAATTGGTTTAAAAAATGCCTCCGTAGCTAATTGAAGCTATGTGTTCACTGTATACCTTAAAGACCATGTTATTTGCATAGTTGTTACAAACAATTATTCTTTTTTTCTATAAGAAAAGGTTCTTATAAATAAAAATGAATTCAAGATTGTATTTTGGTATATTAGTTTAAGCTGGGCAGCTTCTTACACAGATTATGTTTATCAGGGTGCTGATAATTCAACTTTGTATGGATGTTGTATTTTGATGGAAGAACTTGTGGATAAGCCTTCACGGTTAATTTCTATGCTTTCTGACAGTCAACCTGTTAGCTCATGTTTGGGACGGTATATATTTACAACAAAACGCTGTTATTGCATACTTTCACGGGTACCCTTCTTCGACTTGCATTTTGGCGTACTAAAAAGGTTGGTTTATATGTAATTTCAAATTTACTATGAGTAATGAATTTTGTTGCTTGCATTCATTGAAGTTTATTCTATACTACGGGTTTTTACTTTTTAGATCGACTTGACCAACTATAGCTGTACCTTTAAGGCCTTGGGTTTTACCATTATGGCAACATTTCTCAATTCTCACACAACTTCATATTTGGATTTAAGCACCTTTTGGACCGGTTGTGTATATAGAGGGGCTAATTTCCTGTTATGAATTGTGAATTTTTTGATACTCCAATAAATATCTCCCTAGTGACTTGAATTTTTGACAAATCCTTGTAGTAGGACGACTTGAAGACTAAGTGGGTAAAAAAAAAAAATATATTCAGAGTTTTTTGTTTTAATTTTCTTTCTTTTGTGTTGGGGGAAGGGGGAGACTGGGAGAGGGGTAGGGTAGGGTAACAGCCTTAAATAGAAGGCACCTACCTTGAGATGCATTTACATTGAACAACTTAAGCCCTGCTTTATTATTTACGGAATTCCTAGACAACCTAATATGATACTTTATGAAGTATCAAAGATCCAGCATTATGCCCTCCTTATTACTTATTTTTTACTTGGATATGATGCCCCAGCAGGATGAACTTGATAATGGATTTATATAGTTTCTCTTAATTTTTTTTTCCTTATACATGTGTGTTTTGGGTCTTTACTAATCATTGAAGTATCAGGTATGCTACTGAATGCTTGGCAGTTGTCTACTCTTCAGTAAAAGGAGAAATTAATCAATCATGGTGATGCATTTCTAGGTATTCTTGACATGATTAAGTGCTGTTATGCTGGCCTTTTAACATCCTGATAAAAGTCTTTTTCTCAAAAACAAAGACCAAAGTAAAACTTAGGGTTATTTCTTGCGTTACACTGACCTTGTGAAGAGCATTTACATCCAAATATGACATGATAGTATGTAATTATGGTCATTCATTGTATAATTTTCATGAGTGTTTGAGAAGTCAGTATGTTTTTCCCAAATTCAAGTCTAAGCTAGAATTCCTTGGGGATGATTTGGGACTTACTGGATCGTTCTGGGAGATTTTACCCTGCAGAAAAAGAACTATATTTTCTGAAAGCGGGAAATAATTCTAGTATGAGACAAAATGTAACCTCTCTATAATCCTCATGTTAATCATAAATGTAATTCCTTTATTCTGTATGAAGTATAAGTCATCCCTAGTTCAGAAGATTTTTTGTGAGATAGTGAGTATTTTCTTTCTTCATCGTGGTGCTTTTTAAAGGGAATGTTTCCCTGTCTAGGCTTATGTGAAATTTGGTTTAATTGCCGTGTTTACGATAGCTGTTCTTTAGAAAGTCCTAGTCCACTTATTGTCAATGGCGGACCTATTAAGCCCATATAGGGAGCATCTGCATCCCCATTTTGTGAAAAAAAATTCAAGTCCATAGGCCCAAGTTAGTTTTGAAAAATAAAAGCCCAAAAATTTGGACCCCCATTCCAAATTTCTTTATCTCATAAGCTGACAAAGCACCTACTTTTTTACTCTCTTATCATCCTGCTTTTTCACGTGAAGATATGATAGTTATTAAAAAAAAAAAAAAATTCCAATTCTTGTTTACTCACGTGAGGTGAGCAATTAGGGGAAAGAAATGAAATTCTTTTAATTTCACAAAACCTATTTAACCACTTTCCATCTAATTTTCTCTCTCCAACTCAAAGTCTCAAACACCCATACAATTTTATAATTTTCTCTTTCTAGCTCAAAGTCTGAAACAAAAAAGTATCAAGTGTACCAACAAATTTATTTGCTCATGAAGTTGGTGATGGTTCTTCTTATGGCAACTGCAAGTGTGGAAAGAGCATTTTTATCAATGAATTATGTGAAGAATAAGTTACGAAATAGTATAGGTGATCAATTTTTAAGCGATTGTTTGGTTACTTTCATAGAGAGAAACATCACGCTTCCAAGAAATGAAAAATCGATGAGAACAATTGTATTTTTTTTTTAAATTATGTTTTACTTTGATTTCCCTTATAAAGTTATAAATAATCATGGATTTTTTTTCATGAGTACAAACCCTATTATTTGTTTTGTGTTATTGAAAACGATTTGTAATTTTTGGTGATGCGTCTTTGACAATTTATTACTTTGTACTCCGTACGTTGGTATGATTAAGTTGGAAATTTATTTTGGACCCCCATTAATAAATTTCTGGATCCGCCACTGCTTATCGTTGTCTTGTTCCTAACTTGGTTGGAAGAAGTTAGGAAGGATATGAAGTATATGGATTTGCATGAGGATGAGGCATTGGATCGTAAGGGAGGGAGGAGGAAGATTTTTGTCGATGACTACATGGAATAATCACTTTTGGTTCATGTAGCCGACCCCACTTATGGGATTAAGGCTTTGATTGATTGATTGTATAATTTTTCTGTATTTACTGAGTGCAATCTCCTTCCAATTGACCTTTTACACTTTTTTCATGGGAACTCATGTACACACTTTCAGATACCTTGTCCAACAACTGGAAAAAGCAATTACACTTGTTTCCAGATATCGATGGAGCAGATTTTTGCAGTCGTTGGGGTTGAAAAGGTCCATGATGTGGCTGTATTGATAGCTTAGTCAACTATCCCTATCAGTTGTTGGGTTCATAATATCAAATACTTCGTATCTAAACGACTAAATAAAAGTATATATAGCATTAGTCATCTAAAAGTTCTGCTCTGCCAAAGTCAGCCTACTAAACCAGGCCTTATTACAGGTTCCGACTACTGCCTCAATACTTAAAATCATAAAATTAATTATTTTAATTATAAAATTTTATATTTTGCACAAGAACACTCTTATTAAAAGTGTAGGATGTACTTCACGTTGCTTGGGCATCTTTTTTTTCCCTGTTTGAGAACTTTATGGTGCCATAGTATGGATGATATGGGGATCCAAGTAAACTGGTGGAGTTAAGTAACTTTAATCTTTTAGTTAAGATGAAAGAAATTTGAGCCATCAACAAGTCTGTCAGAGATACCCATCAATAGTTAACTCATGTCCTTCTCTCAATTGATTTCTGCATGCTGATATTTTGGTATTAGTTTCTTAGACATTCTGCTGACTGTTTGTAATAGTTAGGATTAAGATACAGCTGGTAGATCTCATATCAGTGATATCATGGTATTTATTATGTTTTTACTGCAGCATATTCATGGAAGAAAGGTTGGAACGCTTAACAAAAAGTATCGGTGTCTTAGATCTGGAAGTGCCAGATACCATCAAACCGATGGAAGGATTAGAAGAAAATGGAAGAATGTCTACACAGCATGTCTCAGAAGATGAGGCAAATGAAACCGTGGGAACTCCTCAATCAAGTTCTAGTGGAACTACTGCTTCTACTAGAGTGACTGATGTGGGAAGTCCCCTTGGCAATCTTGCCAACTCTGATCTCGAGGGAATCTCCTCTTTTAGGGATGATAGTCATGATACTGATGATTCTCTTACAACCACAACTTTTGAAAGAGATACCCTTGCATCTGATAAAGAGCCAGCTGTAACCATGCAAAATTCTGAAGCAAATGATGTCGATTTTGATAATTCATCTATGAGCAAGCCAACCATGGAAAAGTCTGCACCTGGTGCTGTTTGGCCACTGCTTCGGTACCCGCAGTTTGAGAGTTCTGAACCTTCGTGCAGGTATGTAATTGACTTTTGTGTTAGTTCTTACTCTTGTGCTTAAATTGGGGCATGCCTTTGATTACACTGAATCGGTTCCTGCATTTATTAATCTACTTTGTTTTTGAATTTAATGCTGTATACTCTTGTCGTACATGAGAGTCAAAAATACATCAGAAAATATTTCTTTTGGGGCAGTGAATCAATTCTATCGAAAAATACCCTTGAGGCACAAGGCTCAAACTGCTCAAAGTCTCTCCTTGAAGGTGCCTCAATGAGCAAGAGGCATATTCTAATCTCTTTGGCACTTGTTTGATTTGTTAAAAGATTTTCTCAAAACAAAAACAAAAACAAAAGAACTCACTAGTCTTCGAAATTTCCTAATATAATATCGGAGTTAACATCACTTTCAATGCCTGAAGTGTTTTTATCTTGGAGGACCTCAATATGATTGGATGTTATACACTGTTAAGGGAAAGAGGATTGGGCTGTTTAGACTATGATATATTGATATTTGACCAAAATTTTATGAAAAACACATACATAAAATTAAGTTAAACTTCGTTAGATTCTCTTTCTCCATCTCACATCTCACTGTTATTTATCTACATGAAACACTGAAAAAAAAGCTCCAAAACTTCCAAATCCCAAGTGCAATGATCCGATAAAGTTAAATGCTTCCACTCTCAAAGTCATGATTTCTTCAACTTCTATTCCTTAATCCCGCATTAAAAATGAATCAAGCAAAGAAAGATAAATCTACTAAATCAAAGGTAATCAAATATTTTGGTGCCTGTCTACAGTACCCCAACAAGAAGCAATTGGGGAAAGCAAGTGGAACACATCTCTCTAAAATGACGGTGGATATGGATTACTGTCGATAATCATGGGTCAGATCTTGGTATAGTAGTTGTAGAGAGTGTTTATTATTATTTTGATTTTTTTTCACTTTTTTGGAGGAGAAAAATGGGTGGTGAGGAGGGGTAAAATGCAAATCAAGTTCTGCCAAAGCTATAGCAAAGGATGCCCGTTAAATAATAATTATTGCTGCATGATCATTGAATTTAACTCGAGCATGCTTTGATGCTTTGTTTTTAATTGCTTTGTGTAGTCTGGGTTCTCCTTCTGAAGAGAGGCAGTTGAGAAGTGAAAATGATGAGACAGATATTAAAGAAACATCTATCTCTGGCCAGGAAGATTTTAGCAGCCATATTGACATACTTGAATGGGCTAAGGTCTGTATGTCATTTACCACGTATTTGGACAATTTTTAGCATCCATCTTGTAACTCATGTTGTAATTATTACTGTTGCTAATGCATTGATCCAAATCCTTACAGGCAAATAATCACGGGTCGTTGCAAATTATATGTGAATATTACAAGGTGGATTTTCCGCCAAGGGGTACAAGCATTACTTTTCATCCATTAGATTATTTGCACCCTTTGGAGTTTCATCGGCCTAGTGAAAGAGCCCTGGAAGTTTGTGGCTCCCCACTTGATTTAGGATCTTGTAGGACAAGTCTTGAGAGAATTGAGGTAATAATTTATTGTTTCATGTTAAGATGTATTTTTCCCTGCATTACAAAAGATATGCTCTTCCTTTGTCTCCATATAGTTTGCTCACATTTCGTTATCATCCCTTCCAACTAAGTTTGTCCAATTCTAAATTCAACATTGGTCCACTAGTTTATTACTTCTCTCTTCCCATTACTAGAAGTTAGGGTCTGATAGTCTCTCTCATTCGATAATAAATATACTTCTATCTCCCATTACTCCTGCTTTATTATCATAATTACATTTGAAAACTAAACACCACCTCCTTAAATTATTAACTATGTGTCACAAAGGTAAACACACTATGATACCATCAAATACTTTCATAAAAAGGGTTTGTGATGGGAGATAATGATTTATTTGTGTATAATTGAATGAGAGAGAATCTAAGTCTGTAACTATTAGTAGCGGGAATAGGAGAAGGCAACAATGGTATAACGGGGCATTGTTTTAGAATTGGACAAACTAAATAGGAATGGATGAAAAAGGTATGTGAGCAAAATAGACAGAAGGAATAGAATATTTTACCATTTACTTTTTGTATACTCGGGAATATGCTTTTATTTTCATGTAATTAGGAATCTTGATTTTTGGTTACTTATTCTTTGTTGGATTGGTACGCGTAACAAGTTTAGTATCTGAAAATGTTCTCTTTTCAAAGGTACTAAATGCGCTTATAGCTGAGGAGGAGGCTATATCTTTATCGGTAGTGACCATATCATGTATTTGTGGTTATCTAAGACTTGAGAATGTAAGTTTCTTCCAAATTGATGAAGTTAAATCTCTTACTTTCCCTGTTCTTTATTATCATTTGTTGTAATTATATTGGAACCACAAGCTTTAGAAGAGTTGCTTGAAATTTGATTCTTTTTTTTTTCCCTTGCACTTTTTGGTCTAAATAAGTCATTGTACCTATTGAACAGTGTTTAAATATAAAAAATCCAGGAAGCTAAGTTTTTTTTTTTTTTTTTTTTTTTTTTGTCTCTATCTCTCTCCCGTCATTGCCTTTCTAGTTGCTCAACTAGTTATATGATGTTGTCGGGTAAAGCCTTCATATGGCATAAAGCCAACGGTGTTATATTGGCTTAAAAACTCGCATATAGTGGAATAAAATCGAGCATGTAGTAAATTGTTTATAATTTTTGTTTACTATTCTTAATTGCATCCTTAGACTTTTAACAAATTTTCTAGGGTATCGATTGAATGATTTGTCATATTTGCAGATATTGACATTGTTCGCAGGAGCCCTGCTAGAGAAACAAATCATATTCGTTTGCTCTAATTTGGTATGTATAATGCTAATGAACTTTTGTGATCTCTCTCTCTCTCTCTCTCTTTTAATTGTAAATACTACGTAAGATAGTTTTTACTTTGCATCAACAAGAAGAATCTTTTACTTGATATGGAGATGCCAAGGCCTATGCTTTTATATACCATGTTATCTTGAGCTAGACGTGTAATACGAATCCCTTGGACTTATTAGCTCACATTTTATAGCCTTATTGAGTCCATCTTTTGATACGGCAACTTGTGAAAATTTAAGTCATTGTTCCTACAAAGTTATGCTGATTCAACAACTAGTCATGCACAGGCTCAGGATTATCATGTGCAACTTTGATCTTCAATGTTTAAGGGCAGGATTCTATGTTTCTTTCTCAGTCATTTAGCTGGGGGAAACTGTCTTCCAATGATAAGCAACTGAATAAATTTTAGTTTAATGTATCTTGAGATCTATGTGTTCACATTTGCATTCATTTTATGTTGTTATTTACCTCCATGGACCTTTTTTTTTTTATTGATTCAGGGAATATTGTCCGCCTCAGTTCTCTCATTTATATCTTTAATACGTCCCTATCAGTGGCAGAGCTTGTTAATGCCGGTACCTTTTTTCCCTGTGATTGTTTTTCTAAAACATTAGCTACCAAGAGGTTTTTTGTTTTTTTGATAACTTTTGTCATGTATTGCCAGGTTCTGCCTAATGATATGCTCGAATTTCTTGATGCCCCTGTGCCATATATAGTAAGTTTGATTTTCTATGATTATTTATTATGCTTTGTTAGGTAATGAAGCTGACTTTAGTTTTGTTTTTGTGTTTGCTTACATTTAAGTAAGCTGACTTTGTTAGGTAACTGTCGTCCTGAGAGAAAGAGCCTCTATTTGTCTTTCTTTCTCTTTGTTCTGTTTGGCAAACTTTTTGCTATTATGTCAGTCAGTCTGTGTCTACAACTGTGATTTTTTTTTTTTGTTTTTTTTTTGCCTCTTTTTCATTTGTTTGATATACCCTCTTCCTTTATTATTCATTTACTATCTTACCCCACAATATTTACAACTTTCCACTCGCTCTTATTTACCTTATCCACCTTTTTACATATCTCTTACTTTATCCACCTTTTTCTTACACCCACTCAACTCTCTAAAATAAAAATTTACAATTTAATGGGTACACCAAAAGAAAAAAAGGGAGTATCAGTTTTTGTATAGGAGTTTTGGTCAGTATATGGGAAGAAGCAACTTTTACTGGTGTGATACTCTAGGAAAGATCTTTTGACTTGTTTGGGTTTACACCGTATGCTTGTCTGCTGTGGAAAGCGTATTGATATATCTGGGCTTCTTTGTACTTATGTTGTGATTCTGTAAGGTTATTTTCACATATTTTAGCTTTTGAACCCTAAGTTCAAGCACTTTTGATGCTTAATACATGTAATATCTTGTTTCATACTGGTAATAATGCAGTTATGAGCATCTAATTAGCAACTTTGCATATTTAGGTTGGGGTACAGAGCAAATCTTCAGAAGTTCTCTCGAAGTTGCCAAATGCTATGCTGGTGGACATCAGCAAGAATCAGGTATATTTAAATGTCTAACTTTGGCCTTTTTTCCCCTTGTTAGACCACGGTACTGATTTATTGATAATTATCCAGCCTGTTTTAACTCATCTCTTCATCTTCCAAAATGATACTGTACAAGGGTCTGTTGACTCTTCCTTGTTTATTTGTTTTCTTGCATGAAGAAAGTACTTTGAGAAGTGTAAATTGCTCAACTTCAATTTTGTTGAATTTGATAATCTTATCTTTGGAGTTTGGACTGGAATCATGAGCATGTTGAGACATCATCTTTGTTAACCGAGTATGTGAGATTTGTATAGATCTAATGTTCTGATGGCCCTATGCGTAAGTTTGGTTGCAGTTTTATATGCAAAGATTTTAAAGATGTTTTGCTCTTGCATTAATAACATTTCAGTTCCTCCTAGTGTAATATCATTACAATATTTTTAATAAACCTTGGATGAATTTTTCACTATAAATTTCTTGGAAGTAATTGGCTATAAATTTCATTTCTTGTGGTATAGGTGAAATCACAATCGATGCCACAACTGCCACAACAAAGAGAATTACTAGCATCCTTGGCTCCCTACCATGCTAAGCTTGTTGGAGAAAGCTATTTGGGAAAAAGGCGACCCATATATGAATATACAGATGTACAGGTATCTGTATTATCCTGTTATGTTGGTTTATAGCCAGTGATTTCAAAACTGTTACTATTAATAATATGAAGGGGGGAAGCCTGTATTTGCTTCATCTCACTGTATCGACTTACTTTTTATTTGATTAGTTTTTATGTTATATTTTCTCTACTTTCTAACCTGTTGTACCAATTATTTCTGCTGTAGGCTGAAGCTGCTAAAGAATTCATGGACGTGTTAAAGAATTACTTAGATTCCCTTTGCTCTAATCTACGTTCTCATACAATAACTAATGTTCAGTCCAATGACGATAAGGTATGTCTAATTTGTGCTGAACACTTGTGTGTGTGTGTGTTTTGGCTGATTAATTCGAGTGTCCATGCTCCTGCTGTTATCAACAATGAAAAATATGTTTTAAAACGTTCAGGTATACATGTGTTTTCGAGTTAGTGAATAATGAATGATTAGATTTGCATCATGATAATTAATGTATGTTTTGATAATACGTAACCTGGGCACATTGAAGTTAACGACGGATAAATACACACCGGAAAGAAAACATTGTTAGCAAAATTAAGGATATAGTATATGAGAAGATAGGTCTGTCTGAATCTGCTAGTCTGATTATTTTGAATTAGTCTTGTGTACTTGCGGTGTATTTTCGTGGTTGTGGGAGGATATGTGATTAGGCATTTGGACCTTTACCCCACCCCCACTTCCCACTTTAGGCACTAGCCTGACTTATTCGGGCACCCATCCTATGTACCACAGAAGGCAAGTAGGCTCACTGTCCTTCATCTTATATTTGTGTTGTGAGGCTAGGGTCATATTGAACTCTTAGAGCATAAGTACCCAGTCTCTTCCTTTCTCAAATGACTTGATAACTTCTCCTTTTTGTCTTTTTTCTTATTTTCTTTTATTTATTTATTTTTTTAATGCCTTTATAATTTCTTGAATATTTTCTCTGGTACCAAGTACTCTTTTAAATCCCATTTATATATGTTAAGGGTATATATATATATATATATATATATATATATATATATATATATATATATATATATATATATATATATATATATATATATATCTAAACTATACAGTCACTTAGTGCAAGTAATTTGACCGTCTACTTGAATGTTAATCTATAAAGTTTTTCATATTCATGAATCATAATTTTGAACCGTATAGCACATCTGCAACATAAGGTTCTGGGATATTGCTCTCTGCCAAGTTGAACTTTAGGTGGAAAATAAATTTGGTTAATTTTCTATGTAAAGGAATAATTCTTCCTTTTTTTTTCTTTGATTTGTTTGCTTGAACTCCTAAGTTTTATGCACTCGGTAACCTTATTGGAGTTAGAATACTCCTCTTTCTCTCTTCCTGCTTTTACTTGGTTTTGAGTTATATATATTTATTTTGATGCCATTTTCTTGTCCTTTTTATCCTCAGGTTTCACTTCTTCTAAAGGAGAGCTTCATCGACTCATTTCCTAACCGTGATCGAGCTTTTATGAAGGTTTGTTCCTCTAGCTTTCAAGTGTATACTTTGTATTACTCTAGGTCAGAATTATACTGCAGTTTTTATTTGAATGACACATTAATACATATAAATGTCTTTCAAGAATACTAGTAAACCTATTCCTTTATCTGTGAATCCATGACATGTCTCCATAGGTTACAAATAAAATAGGTGGAAACAATAACCACAAATACGTCTTTGCTACAGAGAAAATTTGAGATCTTTTGGGGGGTTGAAATAATGACAAACTCTTTGGGATGGAGGGAGCATATTTTATCGATCATGTAGATTATAATATCATTGAGACTAAAAAATTTATTAATCATATTAATTAAACAATTAGTATAGAGGATATACCAACCGCCTCTCGAGGAGAATTTCAATGTCTAGGTTGGCCTACCCCAGTCAAAGAAGAACAAAAACCACAAGCCTTATCCAAGTTGTGCATTTTCCCGGGCCATTCAGCCTTTATATTTTCACAAACCATGTCTGGTGCTACCAACCTGGAGGGCCAAACTGCTCCATTTTGGGGCCCTCCTAATGTTATACATCAAGGCAGCAACAATTTAGAACACAAAATATCTTCTGAAGCTGGATTCTTTTTATCTTCTTCACATCCAGCTACTATTTTTCAAGGTCTTTTGCTGGGGAAACCAATAGCAACCATTGCTTCATAATGCCCAACACGGATCATCAACACTGCCGCAGAAGAAGATATAAGCTTATTGTTTCAGAATATTGTCCCCATAATCACTGGCCTTGATAATTTAGTCATCAATGGAAAATTTTCAAACTTAACTTGGTGATTTCTAGTTGACATCAACATACCGTTGGTGAAGTACTGGGAGGTTATTGATTTACGGAATTTTTTTTGTATGCAGCTATTTATCGACACACAAATGTTCTCTGTACATACAGATCTTGTTCTGTCCTTTTATCAGAAGGAATAAGGTTATTTCTGAAAGTTGGAATCTTTACATATACTTAACAGCTTCAAAACTGTACTTAGGTAACTCCCAAACTTAATTAGTGGTCGTTTGGTTAGGCATAGGAAGTATCACTTCCCGAAGTGCCAAAATCCGTTTGGTTTTCCATCAAAAAAAAAAAAAAAAAAAACAAATATTTGATTGGAAACAAGAATTTCTACTAATCGTGAAAGGAGATAGTTAAGAAACTTCCTTCATCATTTGGTGAAAGTATTTCCCAAGAAGCTACACCCATGCATTATTGTCACCAAACAACCACTCAATAATTATACACAATGGCCGAATTGCTTTCAGCGCCAGAAACGGAGCTTAATAGGCGTGACGACGATATACTTGCACATGTAAACACTTTGTTAGTTTGTTATACAAAACTACAAAAGAAAAAAAACTGTAAATATCTTGTGAAATTTTCGGTTTGTAATTTTCTGAGTGTATGTATGGGGGGTGTTTGAGGGCAGATCGAAAAATCGCTTTCGAATCATTAAGAAGGCTTTCACTGAAGTAGATCATGTACGTGTTAGGGTTTCATGTTTCCTTAGTGGTGATCTTAAAGCTTTGTTTTTGTGGTCCTAAACACCACTGTTGAGCTGTGTGGTATTGGACCACCATTTCTCCCATCATTGCTAACACAAAATGGCTGTCTTCCTCTAAGGAGCAGCTTTCTTTGTGGTCTATACATGAGATCGAATTTTCATCTGATTATGATTTTACAGTATAGGGTCGTTCTCAATACGTCTTTGTGGTCTATACAAGAGTCCACTTATACGTTGTTATAAAACCTTCATTGTGCATCCGGGTACACCTACGCCTTAAAGCTACGCAGCTAGGTGTACCTCGGGGTATTTTTAATACGTATTGGTCTTTTTCCGTAACTTGATTGTACCCATACAAAATATTCAAGAATTTGTATAAAATTTTAGTTTTATCACCAATTTTTAATTTTTGATGAGTCTGCAGAGATTTAGCAGCTATCATACAAGTACATTATCACTGTTTTGTTCTAATCTTTGCACGTGTGTGTTGATACTCTGCACGTGTGCACCCTGCTCATGTGTGCTAAATTCTGCATAAAAAGTAGGGAGTATAGTTGAAGCTCCTATTTGTTTAATTGATTGTTCTTGCTTTAATTATATTCCGTATGTTTTTGTAAGACCTGAAGATAGTCTACTGATTATTTTAGCCATAGGTGAATTTGAAGGTGACCTCTCATACTTGTTTTTCATTGAACTTTATTATCTTTGACTATTTCGAAAACGAATTCGTATTGTTTGATATGCTACCACTCGTTTAACTTTATGATAGAGTCGGGTTCTTGGTTTATACACGAGGATGGTAAGTATGAGTTTTAAGTTTTAACTGACGTTAATAATTAGTTGATGGGACGGAGGGAGTATTCATAGTTTCACAGATAAGTTTGTGATAAAGAGGAAATGTGTGTTAAAATGAAGATAAAATTTTATCAGTTGCCAAGGTGCTGACGTGTCCATCATCTTTGTTTTCAGTGTGTTAAACTTTTGGAAAATTCTAAAGAAGTGAACATTTCATTTACTGGCTGAAGTGTTAATTAGAGCTATTAAAAGTTGATTCGACTCGAAAAATTTACCTGAATTCGATTATTAATCAATCTGTTTGAACTCGAAAAAATAGTGACCCGAATTTGATATGATTCGACCTTAAACCAACCCTACACCTGAGTTAACCCGAATATTTGAGACCCGAACCCGAACATGAACCGATCTGGAGATAACCTGACCTGAATATAATCCGTAATTATTGACTTGAAGCGAATCCGACCTAAACCGAGATTGACCCAAACCCGTTTTAACCCGTCAAAATCCGAATTTAACCCGACCTATAACTAGCCTGACCTGTTACTAACCCGACCTGTTACTAATTCGACCAGATTTGTTACTAACCCGACCCAAAATCAACACGAGTGTTATTGACCCGACCCAAATTCAACCCGAATTGTTCCTGACCCATTTCAAACTCAACCTAACCTGTTATTGACCTGACCCGATTTCAAATCACTTTAAATTCAATTTAGACCACCTTATTAATATATAGTTATATAGTTAGGTTGTCATTTGTGTAGTTGTGTGCTTGTGCAAACGAGTTAATATGATAAGTTCAATAAACAATAGTTCAATACGTACGACTCCTTACATATACTAATTATAGCTATTTGCTCATTTCTAATTGTTAGAATATAATTAGCATATATTCTCTAATGATTGTATATATCTTTATTATTGTAAACATTGACTAGCTAAATAAAGATATATACAATAATTAGAGAATATATTCTAAGCTACTCGTAAAGTCGTAACTTCGTAAAGCTAAAACTACAATAAATGAAGAAATTGATAATGATTAAACGTGAACGTCAATACATGAACTGCTAACAAACCGACCCAAAAAATGTACCTGAACCCAATATGACCTGACCTGAACTCAACCAGAAACTTAGATTAACCCACTATTTGAGACTCGAACCCGAACATGACCCGACTTGGAAATGACTCGACCTGATTGAACTGAACCTGACTCGAACCCGAGTATGACCCGACCTAATTATAACCCATAAATTATTGACTTGAACCGAACCCGACTCGAACCTGAGAATAACCCGACCTGATTATAACTTGCAAATTATTGACTTGAAACGAACCCGACTCGAACCCAAGAATGACCTTAACTCGTTTTAACCCGTGAAAACCTCGAATTAAACCCGACCTATTATTCACCTGACCCGAATGTAACCCGACCTGTTGTGACCCGATCTAAACTCAACTCAAACCCGATAAGATGTATAATTCGACGTGACCCGACTCAAGCATGACTCAACCCGAACTCGACCCACATAGGTTACGACATTAACCCATATTGACCCAACCCGAGTTGACCTGATCCACCCTAACTCGTCTCATTTACCCGAATTGACACCTCCGTCCTTTATTAATGTAGTCGAACTACGTGGTAATGTTATCCTTTTGCAGGTTTGGATGTTCCTGTTTTAATCTTTCAATGCACTAACATTAACTCGTGAAGCAGAACAAAAGAGCTTTAAATTTGTTTTATACATGTTTGAAAAATTAACAATGACCTAAACTACTTAATCAAATTGTCTCTTTATCGAGTATTCCCTTTCATCCCTCTAAGGTTGCTCCAATTTCCTTTTTGTGTTTCCATTTAAGTTTGATTCGTATTATAAGATCAATAGGCGCCACCACTTTATTTTGACCTACATAAATTCGGTTTCATTAGGTTTGTTTTTTTTTTATACTACCTCCATGAACATTTTTGTGCAACTTTGGGGATGTTTGCGGTTTACGAGGCAAAGATTAGAGAAAGTTAAGAAATTTAATTAAAGGGATATGAGAGAGAAAGTAGGCTCACCCACTTGCATTTTTTGGTGGGAAATCCGGTCCTTCTAGGAGGGACGGATTCCCCCCCCCCCCCAAATTTTCACCAAAAATTCAAATTGGTTGATTTGGTGAAAATTTGTTTTCCCTCCTACTTTAAAAAAAAAGAAAAAAAAAACACCATAATTTCAAATTTTTGAGGCATTTGAAGCCTACATTCAGCATTTAGAAGGCATATAAATACCAGCCTCCATAATTCCAAGGACATTCAATGTGTCACCAATATTTACAAACATCAAATTTTCTCAAAAGATGAATTCCTACATCCAAAAGTTAGCACTAAATACCAATGATTAGCCCATTAAAACCCAAAAAAATCCGCTAAACTGAAATTAGTGATGCACATCATCAATCTTCATAATCTGCATCTCCTAGCATCCTTGATTATCTACAAATCTACATAGGGTAGCCTTCATCTCCTCCAAAAAAAAACATCATCAGCCACCCCTACATCATCAAGCTGAATCTGAAGAAAAACAAATCAGACACAATACAAAAAAAAGCTGAATCTGGGTTGATTCCCCAGAAATGCAACAACCAATTGAACAAGGGACTCAAGTTCCACAAAGAAAGCAGCTCAGCATGCAAAAAATAGAGAAATTGTTGATGCAATGTTGGTTAAAATGAATGAGGAGAATTTACCAAGGGGGCACATGAAACATTTATCAGTTCAATTCAATGTTCACAAATCCACTATCACAAGAATATTCACAAACATAAAAAAAAATAAAAAATAAAAAATAAAAAAAAACCCAGATGGCACAAGGGAATTTGATTGATGTCAGGACTAAGAAGTATGGCAGAACAGGTCGAAAGCCTGCAATGGAATTTTTGATGAATTCCTACAATCAGTCCCTTTGCATTTAAGGCAGACAAAAAGGAGTTATGCAACAACATTGAAGACCTCTCATGTCACTCTTCACAATTTGAAGAAAAGGGGAAGGCTAAGAACACACACAAGCAGCAATAAGCCAGCATTGTCATCAGCCCACAAGGTAGTTAGACTCAAATGGGTTCTGTCACATATTAATCCAATTACAGGTAATGAGGATCCCACATTTATTGATATGAACCATGTCAGACACATAGATGAGAAATGGTTTTATCTGAACCCTGATAAGAGGAGGTTTTATCTCCTACCAAGTGAGGAAGATCCAAACAGGGCAATACAGTCAAGAAGATTCTAGCTCAAGGCAATGTTTATGGCTTTAATTGGGAAGTCATTGTATGACACAAATGGGAAACTACTCCATGATAGGAAGTATGGCATATTCCCATTCACTGTCAAATAACAAGCAAAGAAATCCAGCAAAAACAGAGCAGCAGGAACTTGGGAAACAAAGGCAATCCAGAATGTAAACAGAGAAGTGATTAGAGATATGTTGCTGATAAAGGTGATACCAACAATTATCTTAAAGTGGGCTGATAGTCTGGCTAAAAATGTTGTCATCCAATGGGACAATGCAAAGCCTCACCAAGTTCCTAAGGATGTAGAGTTTATGGCAGCAACAACAGCAAATGGGTTCAACATTCAATTTGTTTTTCAGCCAACACAGTCACCTGATTTGAATGTGCTTGATTTAGGGTTTTTAGGTCTATTCAATCTTTGCAATATCAGTCTTTTCCTAGCAACCTAGATGAGCTACTTGAAAAAGTGATAGACTCTTATGACACATTCAATCCTCAAGTTAACAAGTACATTTGGATGAATTTGCAAAAATACATGATAAAGATCCGAAAAGGTGGGAACAAGTACAAAATACCCCACATGAACAAAAAAAAAACTTGAAAATCTTGGCATTCTACCAAATCAAGTAGAAGTGCATAAGGAAGTAGTGATGGAGGTTTTGGAGTACTTAAACACTATGTTTAAGCCAGCAAATCAAGGCACCGAACAAGCAACAGAAGATATGGAGGTAGATGCAGACTAGGGAACTCATCACAACAATGAAGAAATACATGGACTGCCACACATAACCACTTAGCTCTGTTAATCCTTTTTTTCTTTTTTTTTTCATTCACTTATTAGGTGGTTAGGTGTATTTTGTTGATTACAGTGATGCAAACATGTAAGGCAGTCTTATGTAAAGTCTTTTGCTGAAGGTGTGGTCCTTTTGTACCCACATTTTGAATGGAATAAAAATGAAAAAGAATCAGCTGTTATGTGGGCACTCAATCCATCAGAAGCTTTGTATGTCATTGTTGAATACAACACTAAGTCACAAGGTTACCTCATCAAAAACCGCAAAAAACAAATTGTTGGAGAAAAACACATGTGTTTAGTGAAATTCAATGGAGTCCCTTCATCATTTGGATTGTACAAAGTAAACAACACAGTAAAATGGGGGACTCAATACAAATGTGTAAAAAAGATAATTAATGGGGACTCCTTTAAAAATGTGTAAAAACAGTAAGGGACTGACATGTGTTGTCTACCTAAATGGTCATTGAGAACACTGTAAGGTATGACCATGCCAACTTGAAAAAAGAAAGGACACAACAACCTC